GGGGGGGGGAGGGAGGGGGGGATTGTTGCACCCATGACTTTCCCAACAAAAAATGGCGGACACTTTCAGCCAATGAAATGTCGGATACTTTCAGCCAATGAAATGGTCAATACAATCGACGAATCTAGGAATGTGATCTCTTGTCTGGCACTAATGATTTGCTTTTCCTACTGACTAGGATTCGTCGGGCGATACTGAAGAACCTTTAGAAGACGGGTCAGATTTGCACGTCAACACAGAAGGACATGATAAAGATGTTGCTATGGAAACAACAGAGATCGCTCAAATAAGTGACAAAAAAGAGAACATTTTGGAGAATGAATACGAGAGCAATGCCACAAGAGATACGATTGAAAATTCCTTGAATGTTGAATGGAAGTCTAACAATTTTCTCACACCGATTAGTGAGTCTACTGACACCTTAACCAATGAAGATTCTCAAAGAAGTGTTCTATCGGAAGCCACTCTCGAAACCTCTAAACGTCATGTTTTAAAAACCGAAAAAATTGATTATAGAACAAGCTTGAAAATAGAGGAAAAAACCAGTATTAATAATGTGCCGTATTTATCAAAAGAACTTGGAATTTCGGATGCTTTTTCACAAGATATTTGTGCTGGTACGTCGAGAACTAAAGCGTTACAACCTTGTTCAACCGTCGGTGAAGTAACTTCGAATATACCTACCACTACCGACGACAAAAGACCTACTTTAGAAGATATAAAAATTGATGTGGATTTAATCTTAGAAAGAGAACAAGTCCATGACTTGGAAAGAATGTTTAATGAGGAATTTTTTATGGGACGGTCCTTGAAGACTCCACAACGATATATCAAAATAAGGAACCATATTTTAGATATGTGGGATAAGACCAAACCAAACTATTTGTACAAAACGTCTGTTCGTTCAGGGTTACGGAACTGTGGTGACGTCAATTCTATTGGTCGGGTCCATGCCTTTCTCGAGGAAATTGGAGCGATTAATGTGGGATGCTCAGAAAAGCCTAGGACGAGGCCAAGACAAACCTTTGAGGCAGAGAAAATTGAAGAAACGCCTCCAATGGAATCCTGGACGAATTTCCTTCGCCCCAGGAAGCGTCGGGTGAGATATGACGAGGGAGACTGGATTGATGAGTCTCAGTCTGAAGGCTTGACGATATCGGTAAGAAGACTTTGCGATCACGTGATATCCGTCCACCGTCGTTGCTAAATCACGTGACCGTTCCTTTCCTTTTAATAGGATAGACACCTTGATCTTGGGCGTAATGTTTTCCCATTTCATCAACGATTGATTTTACTTTGTTTGAGTTGTATTCATATTCATGTGTCTTCTCATGCGTAACCATTAAACAAAGAAATGATACTCAAGGGAATGACACGTTGTTTGAAATTATAATTCCCAAACCATTCTCCAATGACGAACCAACCTCGCCCCACCCCACCCCCATGCTCAATAACCGTGCAACCTGTCTGGCCTGGAAGATGAGACGAGGTTTTGTATGTGTGACATCGTCTCCTACAATATGCAACCTTTTTTTCGCTAGACCTGCGTTTCTTAGGTCGTTTTAATATTCTTTTTCTGCAGCATCTCCCCTGTGAAGAAGACGAAGAACCGGCGAAGCATTCACAAGACAAAGCAACTCATAAGAAACCAAAACTCCCACGAAACAAAACATCCTACAACCCGTTCTTATTGGTGCCTTGTAGGAGGTTCCCGTCAGCCAGTGCGGTCCCATTTGAAGTGATCTTCCAATCAGATGCCTTAGTTGTGATAGACGTTCATTCGCATTTGTCGACCACTGAAGTAATTGGCTTGCTAGGTGGAACGTATTGTGCTACTGAACGAGTGTTGAAGGTAATGCAATACGTAATGGTCAGCGGGTAATCCTAATGCTGTAGGTAATGCAATACATAATGGTCAGCGGGTAACCCTAGTGTTGTAGGTAATGCAATACGTATTGGTCAGCGGGTAATCCTAGTGCTGTAGGTAATGCAATATATGATGGTCAGCGGGTAATCCTAGTGCTGAAGGTAATGCAATATATAATGGTCAGCGGGTAATCCTAGTGCTGAAGGTAATGCAATACATAATGGTCAGCGGGTAATCCAAATCAATTCATTTCATCTAGATTCTTCGTGCAGCTCCTTGCAAAAGTTTAAGTACCGGCATGCAATGCGAGATGGATCCCGTCTCTCAGACCCAAGCCTCTGAAGAGCTCTCGTCCATTGGCCTCTCTGTTGTAGGATGGTATCACTCGCATCCGACGTTCGCTCCAAGTCCATCAGTAAGAGACATTGAAACACAAGGAAAATTTCAGGTGAAATTTCACTTCGTTTTTGAGTTCTTGGAAAAACTTGGGGAGTTGAAATAAAGTCTTTAAAACAAGTTTAGAAGTAACGTGCTTTGGACCAAAATACTCTACTCTTACCCCCTCCCCCCAAAGAAATGTTATTGCAGTAGTGACTAACAGGCATTTGTTTATCAGGAATGGTTCGGTAAAGGTGGTGCTCCGTTTATCGGTGTTATTGCCAGTCCTTATAACTACACAAACATGTCCAACCAATCACAGATCACCACCTTGACAGTCAGTGATGAATGGGAGACTGCTGGCCAGTACCGATTGCCGTACCAGTTTGATTATAAGATACGAGAGAATGTTACTGACTGGATCAATGTGGTTGATTGTATTGATGAACTGGAATTACAGTATCAGGGCTACAAATAGTGAGTAGTTACTTGTCTTATTATCTATTCTCTGCGGTATCACTGATATAGACACCTTGAAGCTCCATCTGGAGGACAAAACAAAAGAATTCCAATCTCCTGAGAATAGACCTCTTCGGCTTGGGGTAACGTTTTCCCATGTCAGACCACGTTTCATTCCCTTGAGAATAAGATTCTTTGTTTGAGCTGTATCCATATTCATGTGTCTTTTCATGTGCAACCGAGCGCAAACTTTAAACAAAGAAATGATACTCTAGGGAATGACACCTGGTCTGAAATGGGAAAACATTACGTCAGAGCCGAGGAGGTCTATTGAAACCTATTGTTTTGTCCCCAGGTTGAGCTGCATTCCAAAGTGCTGCAAGGGGTCGTCTATAAATGTATGAGAACCGATTAGGTTACGTAATATATCAAACATGTAAAAGAGTGTTTCATCCCATTTCCAAACACCTTTTTTTCATCCGTTAGTTAAGTAACTCCAGAATTGATGGTTTTCACGGCGGCCATGTTGGAGGAACTTCACAAAAGAATTGTCATTGAATTCTTTTGTTATATCCTCCAACATGGCCGCCGTGTCTTTTGTTATTTAATTCTCTTGGGAATGGTTGAAAACCATAAATACTTCTCAGCTTATACATTGACAATCGAAACGTTTTTTCTTCCTTCCTTCCTTCCTTGGTTCCTTGGTTCCTTCCTTCCTTCCTCCCTCCCTTTCTTCCTGCCTTCCTTCCTTCCTTTCTTCTTTGGTTCCTTGGTTCCTTCCTTCCTTCCTCCCTCCCTTTCTTCCTGCCTTCCTTCCTTCCTTCTTTGGTTCCTTGGTTCCTTGGTTCCTTTGTTCCTTGGTTCCTTCCTTCCCCCCTTTCTTTCTGCCTTCCTCCCTTCCTTGGTTCCTTCCTTCCTCCCTCCCTCCCTTCCTTCCTCCCTTCCTTCCTTTCTTCCTTCTTTGGTTCCTTGGTTCCTTCCTTCCTTCCTTCCTTCCTCCCTCCCTTTCTTCCTGCCTTCCTTCCTTCCTTCCTTCCTTCCTTCTTTGGTTCCTTGGTTCCTTCCTTCCCCCCTTTCTTTCTGCCTTCCTTCCTTCCTTCCTTCCTTCCTTCCTTCCTTCCTTCCTTCCTTCCTTCCTTCCTTCCTTCCTTCCTTCCTTCCTTTCTCTTATTCATTTTTCTCTTTCCATCTATTCATTTCCAACTCAGTTTTAACAATGGTTATCCACCATTTCTTAGCCGTATGCCGTTAACAAGGCGCTACAGCTCATCATCCTTCACGGCACTCGACAAATTAGTTGAATCACTGCGAACTCGCCTACGTGGCTCGGAGGAAGAAAAACAAGATTTTGTCAATGAATTAAAAAACATTTTTACTTCTGACGTTGATTCATGGTCCATTGAGCGTGGACAAGAGAATGCAACGAGGAATGCTGAAGATGTTCCTACAGTAACTAACGAGAAGGTTGTGACAAGTTGACAGTGGTGATGGTAGTGATGGTAATGATGATGATGATGATGATGATGATGATGCTGATAATGGTGATGATAGCTATGATGATGTTGCTGTTCTTAATGATAGATTAAAATGGTGATGATGATGATAATGGTGGTGGTGATGTGATGATGATGATGATGATGTTGGTGGTAATGATGATGATGATGGTGATGATGATGGTGATGTTGGTGATGATGATGATGATGATGGTGATGATGATGATAAATTAAGATGGTGATTGTGAAAACTGATGATGATGATGATGAGGGTAATAAAGATGAACATGGTAATAATCATGATGGTTCAATACTACAAACTAAGATAACACATGGTGCAAAACCATGCGACATTCAGCCTTCACGCTTGTATTTAAAATATCTATTTATTAATTTATTAATCTACAAACTGGACAACGAGCTATTCCAAGAAATGGCATTGAAAATAAATACATTATCAAATGAATTCCAGATATTCAAGAGTTCCAATATTTCCCCAAAAAACCAATTCAGGTTTAAAAGATAACTTGTTCATTGACGTTTTTGCAACACATTCAATTTGTGATTTTAGGTTTTGCCGGCATATTTAGCGATACTTTAGTTTTAAGATTTCGGGGGTGGGTGGCAAATTTCGTGATCAACTTTTCGCGATAATTTGTTTGGCAAACAAAAAACGACCTTTTAATGTAACAGAAAATAAATAGCTATAGAGGCTTTGCACCATCACGTGATGGCAGCTATGAAAGGAGGCAGGAATAGTTGATTCTGGTCTAATCTGATTTACGTGAGAAAGAATTCAGTTTCCCAGGGGGGGGAGACTCTATTGTTATGTCCTCTGTCATGGCTGCCATCACGTGATGGTGCAAAGCCCATATATTTATTATTTATCATATATTGTTATATAAATAGTTTTTGGTCTTRTAAATATAGTCCAATCTCGTACCCAGAGCCTGCCGTTTTTCTGGCCTGCGGGGGAAAACGAGGGCTCTGGCATATTCTATTTTTGGCGCATGCCAAGTTTGAATCTAGTCTTACCCCTATTACTCGTCGTTCAGTGTTTGTCTCTATCGGTAGGTGCCAGTGTGCGTTCAATATTTAAAATGTCTTTTATCAACGCTTTTTATTGGTCAATAAATTCAAATTTTTTTAATTGCCTGTTTCCGAGATATGCTTCGCTTGTCACGTACAAAGGTTTCAGTATGAGGCTACGTGCTAAATTAAATTAATTCTTACTGTCACGAATGACTGAGCATTTAGCACGTAGCATCATACTGAAACCTTTGTGCGTGACAAGCGAAGCGTATCTCGGAAGTGGGCTATTGTCATGATGAGGGTCACTTAACTTTCGCGTCATTATTTTTTTGTCGACAATTATCGTTTGCGATACTTTGATTGAAACTAAAGCTTTATGTGTTATTCTAGGTTAATAGGTTTTTAGTTCGGTTTTCATATTCACACGAGAAGTAGTCGCTTAGCAACCTTTAATGTTCTGGAAAGAATTTAATCAAGTACATCAGTTTTCTTACTAATTAAATATTGTAGTTTATCAGATTCAATCGATTGTTGAACTGTGATATCTTTTTTGTTATTGTCTGAGATAAAGGTAGAGATGGCAAAGTTTTCGCGACGTAGTTGTAAAGATTGCCGATAAAACTTGCTTGGCAGATGAATTGATTTTGGATGCAGGAGCAATATACTGTAGAATAGAATTATTAAGGAGAAAATGGAGAAAAAAGAAAGGAAGAAAGAAAG